CCAGAGGGTCTGCTTATCCCATCTGAGTGGGCAAGTGCCCTCCTGGAGAATTTGGTGAACTTGGAATCCGTCCTCCCAAAATGCCCAACGGACTTGTCCTCGAGGACGTGTAGCTGTCAGAAGTATTCCGTACTCGGAAACGGACTCCTACATTGTATCTCCTTCTTAGATGCTTTCCTGCAAACAAGTGGCTCCATGCCCATTCTTGCACCCAGTGCCAGTTTCTGGATCCACGGAGCACCTACCGGTAAACCTTCAGAAGCAAACCAAGCAGATAACTGGAACCCAATACGACTCATGGGGCGAAGAGTTCACTGTGCACCTTAGGTGCAGAAGAACAACCTTTTTCAACTTGGATAATTACTTAGAACGGGCACAGGGCAACACAGCTCTGTTGTGGTCTTCGCAGATCTTTCAAGAGCCACTCACCTTCTCCGGCTCTCCATCGTCGTGCTCTGTGCCCTCAGCGCCGGGCCGGGCCCGGCTCTCGTGCTCGTCCGGGGCTTTGTGGGGGAGGGGCGGCGCGTCGTCGTCTGCCGGCTCCGTCTGGCTGGAGGGGGGCTCTGCGTTCACGGAGCGCCGGCTCTTCTTCTTGAAGTCGATGGAGGCGTACTCGACGGCCGGGCTTTCGGAGACGGCGCCGGGGCTCTCGTCCCCCTGGGTGGGAGCAGTCTCGGCCTGGCTCCGGGTCGGAGCCGGACAGTTGTTAGGCACAGGGTCCTGGCCCTTGATCTCCTTCAATGTCTCGTACAGCGAGTCCTCGATGTTAGCGTCCTGGGAGGTGCTCTCTTTCACCACCTCGTAGGGGGAGTCCGCAGCAGCGCCTGCAGCGTCCAGGGCACACTTCAGAGCGCTGTCAGGGGGTATGCTGGGAAGCTCCCGATCCTGATGGCCCTTGGAGAACTTCCCTTGGCTATCCTGGACCTCCTCCTGGCTGGACAACATTTCTTCAGATGGCTGGGGGCTGGTGTCTCCAGAGTTGTCTGAAAGAACTACACAGAAGACATCGTAAGCGCGTGGATCAGTCGCACGTGGCTCAAGGTCCGAATGGGAAGGTTTCAGAAGCACCTTTATCCTGTCGAACTTGTGAAATGAAACATTATCAGCTTGATTTAGAAATAAGAATAACATGATCACTTCCAGCCCCCTTTTAAATTGAAATGGCCATTCTTTTAATAATCGCCTAATTTTCCATCTCTTTTTTTAAGCTTGTAGAAGCTTCCAATTTTCAAACTCACCAGTGCCACTGGTCAGCGGCCCATTTTGAGAGCAACTTCTTGATATGATGTGCTCATGACTGCCAGCAGACTGGCGAAGTGTTTCTCTTTCAGACACCTGCAAAACAAGACATTTCCTCGTCACCTGGACTCAAACAAATGCTTACAGTTCGTGCACAATTTATGAGTTCCTTGTTAAAGTGAATAAAGGCTGTGCTCTATGTGAAACAGTGCTCCAGAACTTAAATCACAGGATATTTCATCATTACATACAGTAATGTGCAAACAATATTACAGTGCATGCCAAATTTATTCATACCCATGGTGGAATAGGAAATTCTACAACAAAGATTTACAGACTGGATAATGTTTCTTGCTTTAAAGGTCTAAAAATGTCATAAGGTGATGTTAATAACATTGCTCAAAGCAAAGTCATATTCGTCATAAAACACAAGGGTCACAATTATCTGCAGCTAGTTTTACAAAAAAAGGATTTACAAAATACTAGTTAGTATTTTGTAAATCCTCCTCTGGCAGGGAATACATTGATTAGACACCTCATGTAGTTTTCTATGTGGTTCTGGCACTGCAGGAAGGAAATTGTTCAAGGTAAATTTTTGGCCAAACTTGTGTTTCTTTGCAAAAAAAAAAACAGGTATCTGTCCAAAACCATCCTGGACATAAAACAACCCCAAAAATACTTAAAAGATCACAGTCTCTCACAGTTTTTTTTTTCTCAATATGGGCTTGACGGGGACACTATACTGTGAACTGGCGCCGCCCTTCGGATGAGACGTAAAACCGAGGTCCTGACTCTCTGTGGTCATTAAAAATCCCAGGGCGTTTCTCGAAAAAAGTAGGGGTGTAACCCCGGCGTCCTGGCCAAATTTCCCATTGGCCCTTACCAATCATGGCCTCCTAATAATCCCCCTCTATGAATTGGCTACATTACTCTGCTCTCCTCCCCACTGAGAGCTGGTGTGTGGGGAGCGTTCTGGCGCACTATGGCTGCCGTCGCATCATCCAGGCAGGGGTACACACTGGTGGTGGTGGAGGGGATCCCCATTACCTGTAAAGCGCTTTGAGTGGAGTCTCCAGAAAAGCGCTACATAAGTGTAAGCAATTATTATTATTATTATTATTATTATTATTATTATTATTATTATACTGTAGTTCTGGGGTCCAGTTTCCTCTCACAATATTGGTAGGTTAATTGGCTTCTGGGAAAACTGCCACTGATGGGTGTTCAGCTCCCCGGCTCCCCTGGGATCCTGAATTGGATAAAGTTTTTAGAAAACTGATGCATTTTTTAAAGGGATACTTAGAGCAGTGGATACATGTGTCCCTCTTGTTTTCTGGAATACAGTCAATTGTGACAAATATTACTTTGTTCTGTGCAACTTTGATAACGCTGTTAAAGGTCTGACCGCGCATCTGAAGCTCATCATGCTAGGTCAGCGAAAGTTCAATTCTTCCAAACTAGTAAGTCTAGCATAGCCTTCTGGCGCCCCCTTGTGGTTTAATCAGATCGTGAACTGGGTTGATTGTCTCGGTCTTAAGGACAGGACACACAGCACAATGTAATAAATTGATGTTTATTACACCAAAGATGACCTTTTATTGCAAAGTTTTCCTTTTTGCGTTTTAAGTTTCCTAATGTGATTATTATTGTGAAAACTATATAGGGAAAAGGGTCTTTTATAGCCTTACAATATCAACAAAGGCATCCATTTGCGACTTGACAGCCACATTTCAAGTGAAAACATAATCGCCAATAGTGCATTTGCAGGATACACAGTACATGTATATGGGACATTGTGAATAATAGGATATTATCACAGAGTTCAACTGCTAAATCACTTCATCTTGCAGACCCATCATAAAACCCATCTGCCTCAGAAGGGCACTCTTGCACAGAGCCACATGTTTGACAATAATTGTGCTAGGCTTTCAAAATGTCCGCAAGTACCTCCAGCCAGACATCACCACAGCTCTTCCTGGCAAGGGTACACAAATAAAACCCTCCTTTTACATCCCGGCACATCTTTACTACAGCAGCTCCTAATGGCGCCATAAAAGAAAGTCAATAAACATCTCTCTTCTGAAGAGGGTGTCCTCACATGTGTTTCTCCAGGAGCTTCTGAAAATTCTCAGCTGGGCTGAATTTTGGAGCAGGAGCTGTGTGTGTGTGGGTGGGTCAAAGTCATCTAATCTGCGCTGCTAATTTGAGTCCCCTGCTGCCTTCCTGTCGTTTGCCTTTTCCTGCCATTTCTCACTTGTCTCAGTCCTGATTGATTGTGTTCTTATGGGTTTCCTGGTATTTGTGTTGTCTGTTTAGATTTTTGCTTCCGATTATTATTCCGAAACAGAACGCCTTCTAGGAGGAACGACATTAGGAGCCGTGCCAGTGCGGTCCGCCATGGCTGTGTCCCCACCCAAGTCTTCGACCCCCCAGAAAATGTCATTTCTTCTCTTTCCACACAGTGGCTTGCTGCTCTTAAGACACAACACAGCTCCGGGACCTTCTGGTCCCTGGTGTGACCACTGGACATGTGCTGTCAGGTCTGTCAAGCACTTGACAGCAGGTGCATAACATGACACATCCCTTCAGAAGCAAAAAACGTGAACAATTCAAATATTTTGTGGATATCGCTATTCAAATAGCAGGTAGAAAGAATCAACTATTAATTAGTACATTTACTTTAACTATCCCAATCAAAACACAAAATATTTGACCAAGCAGCAAAAATGTTATTATCCCCCAGTTTCCGTCTCTGTAATAGGTCTTAAAATTGGTCTCCATTTCTCAGAAACATCACGATCGCTAGTTTCTGACCTTTTACCTCTATGGGTATTACAGCTTTTGCTGGAACAGTGCCCACTGTACACTGAAAACACAGAAAAGGCCACAGACACCAGGATATCGATCAACTAGGAAACGCAGAGCAAATAACAGATGCAACACGCTGGCCAGATGCTCTTGAGTTTCGACACGCTCAGGGCTGAAAAACAAAATGCATAGAATATAACTCACCCCATTTATCAGATTTTCGTGGTCTCCGTTGGACTTGGAGGTTTTCTTTTCTCTAACAGGAGAAAAAAAATGAATCAAATGAATATCCCGAGGGTTAAAATAATGACATTAATATACATATGTATTCTGGTGTGGTACATTTTTAAACATTTTATATGATCATATGCATACAGGTTTAAGACATTTAACATACAATACATATTATACATTTAAAAATAAAATTAAAGGTCTGGACCTTTATTACCTCCTATATTCAATATTGTGCAGCGCTAATGAAGGAGCTGAGTGATTCTTTGGTCAGAACCACTGCAACTTGCTGAGCCTCACTCTCCTATAATTTGAAACCAGAATGTACAGCTGAGAACAGGTTAAGTTCTCTCTAATCTTCCTGCTTCAAGTGTGAGAGTCGCATCTTTTCTCAGCATAGTAGAAAGGATCCATCAGAACTTCAATAGCTCTACAGTTGTGTTGATAATTAAGCCATTCCTTAACCTGGCTGAGAACTGGGTAAAACATACAAAGGAACAGGTAAAGGTTTATTCCCTTCTGCAAAGAAAAGAGAGAGAACGTTTCAGCTGTAGAACCTTCTTTGGGTGTGTGTGACTTGTTCCTTTGCGTCCTACACATGCTGACACAGCTGCCTACTTGAACGTCTTAAAAAATACAATGTCACGCTGAAAGTTGCTGAAAGGCATGAATACTGTTTACCAGTTTTATTGGTCCTTTTACAACACACACCCAGATAAATGAGTTAAGAAGTGGATTATTCAACAACAGTAATCATTGAGTAAAATCATTTGTAAGGAGTATTAAAAGGCACACCTAGTTGTGTATGTTCTTTTCGTAATGCGGTTGGACAACTGTGCCCTATTGTTATCCACCCACTCCAAGTCATCCAGAGTTCGGCTGCTCCCTTTCTCTTTTCCTTTTCTCCAGCTATGTCATTACTCCAGGGCCTCCCCTGTGACTCTCTCCTGCAGCACAGCACCGTTTCTCCTGAGTGCTCTCTCCCCTCCAGAATTCACTCTCCAACCCCCGGCAGTACAGACTACCCACAGAAACCAGAACGGCTCGGCTCCCAGCCACCTCCAGGTGCCCTGCTCCTGGTTGAAGTGTTTGGACAACACCTGTAATCTCTCTTCTCCTGCTACATCCTTCTTTAGCAACCCTCACACTACAATGCACCATGTTTTTAAATCTTGGACTTTTAAGCTGCTAATTGCACTTCATCCCTGTCATCATGGAATACATACCCTACCGATCACACTCCTGCTTTATAGCCACACTGTCCGTTTTACTGTTTCAGTTTGTAAGATTTTGTGATGCTTTCCTTGCATAGCCCACTCGTGCAAGCTTTTTGTCATTTTATTCATTTCTACTCACCTTTGTTACAATACTTAACGTAAAATACGGTTTGTTGCTCTGAATAAGGGCATCTGCTATAAACATTAACAATAATAGCAGTAATACAGCACAGCCTGTTTAAGTTGTATAACAGTCTGCACTGAAAACCAATGTACTCACGCGTTCACCTGTCTTTAACCACCTGATATGGAACAGCCAGTTGCCTCACAGCTATGAACCCTAAGACCGCACACAGGAGAGAACGAGGAAGTGCAGGCTGAGGCAGGCTGAGGCCTTTGATCCCGCTGTCGAGCCACTGATCTTTAGACCCAGCGCAGGCAGGACCGCGCCGTACCGCCCCCCTCACTGACAGACTCACCCCACCGTCCTCTCGCCAGCCCCCAGACAACTGTGTGCCCCCAGTCAGCTGGTGACACAGCTCCAGTTCGAACCCGAGCCCAGCCTGTGCCCCGGAGAGAGCCTTTATCGCCGCCCCCCCCCCGGATTTTTCCCGGATTCGGCTCTTACCCCTGGCAGCTGGCACACAGAAAGACGAGCAGGGACAGGAGCAGGAAGGCGCCCGCTGCCGTCAGGGCGCCTACCACGGCGGCATGCTCCCCGCTTGTGACCCCTGACCCTGGTAGAACCACATCGCTCAGGAGGGGAGCCATCAGAGATCTGGGGAACGCCTGCCGGGGGGCGCAGACATCCGTGGAAGGCGGTCTGCTGCAGAAAAAAAACAAACCAAAAAAACGACACTTAGAAACCCACAACAGCGAGAGCCGTTACCTGCCACATGCGGAAAAATCTCCTACTCCAGTTACTGGCACGACTCCTGGAGTTCAGTCCAGCGCCAGGGAATTGAGGTGGCTTTTTTAACCAGTTAATTAATCAGTGACAGAATGGAAAATACAAAGTTCAGTCGGAAAACATGAAGGCAGAGGTTTAGTTTCCCCGGGCCTTCTCATTCTGCTCAGGGCAAAATAAGCCTTCAGGGTTCATGTTTCCACAGCAACAGCCTCTTGTCAGCGGATCTCAGGAAGGGATGTGAAGGTTAAAGGAGAGGCGGAATAATCAGCGAACGGGACCAAATTCAGAGCACTTGTGAAGTCCCAGAAGTGTGGTTTCCTCGCGTAGAAAACATGCAGATGAGAGAACTTCACAAACGGAATGCTGATGTAAGAAAGAAGTGGCGTGCAACATCCTCACAGCTTACAGCTTTACAGCTAAAATTGCTTCAAGTACCAAAAAACAGAAAAACGAACCCAGTGATAATAACTGCTTGAACGAATCTGGCTGGACACCCCACTCAGAGGACTTTAAGGGCCACCGCAAACTCAAATTCAGTCAGTTGTTGTTTAATACAATAATATTTCCTTCTGCCATAGAGCCCAACAACTTTTTATAAAGTTCACGTCACTATAGTGTGGATGTACTAGACCACACAAGAAAGAGCAGTAGAAGTAGCATAATTAACCCTCTAGAGGTGGTTGCTAGTAAGCACATTTTTCCCCCCTTTCTTTCATTGTATTGATAGTGAATTCATTTCTCTTTCTTCAACAGTTGCTTGAATTAAAGCAACACATTCTTATTTTTGGCATGATCTTATTTACAGGTAGGTGCGGTCCTGTTTCGTCCAGGTTTTACATACTGTATGTAAAGAAGTCCACTAGAGGTCAGTGCAGCACAGGTATCGTTCACTGAAATTTTACTCCCATCACTGTAAAATAGTTTTTAATTGACACTTAACACAACAGTATATAGAATTTTTGTGATTTTAGTAAACTATTCTATCCTTAAGATGTGAGTATATTATTTAACAACTGAATTGTAGTTGTTGTGCAGCATGTTGTCAAAACATCTTTTTTTCCACCTCAGAAATATCACTAGACGGCGCCCTATGCTATCACTAACTGTGGCTGAAAAGCTGATCAACACATTTGTGTTTTCCTGAATTGACTACTGTACTGCTGTACTCGCTGGGGTATCTAAATCTGCATTGAACAATGTCCGAAATTCGGCAGCCAGAAAACTGACCAGGTCTAGAGCAAGTGTTTACATTATTCCAATCCTGGAGTCCTTGCACTGGCTTACAATACAACGGCAATGGGTAAATAAAATAAATCACTCAGTTAATTATGGACTTCATTGCATAGCTCCACCTACATGCAGAGAACACAGTGTAGTTGCTTTCCCATAGCTTGTCATTCTAAGTATCAGTGTGGCCAAAAGATAAAACGGTCTTCAGAGACAATTATTTTAAGGGAGGGCGTGTGTGTGGCGGGCACAGTTACTGAAAAAATCAGCCAAACAAGCAAATTCACAGGATGCAGATGAGGTCTTCTTTTAGGCTGAGAATGGGAAGGGGCAAGTTTACTGCCTGTACTAACAACTTAGAGCAATGATGAAGCTGAGACCGGCTGATGTCCTGTAACCGAGGAGCCTCTCGTTAAGACCACCGGATCAGAAACTCAAGACAGACCCACCCGGGCCTCCCATTCTGGATGGGGCTACTTCGCCTGAGTGAAAATCACCACAGCAGCGTTCCAAACTAAACAGACATGATGCCAAGGGCGACAGACAACCTGCATTCATCACACGAGGACGGTCTGTAGTTGTGCAGTTCAGTCATTCCTCTGCACGTTTCTGAGAAGTCTTTTGTTTCACAGTACATCTATGCAAAGCAGGGGGTTAGTTGATCCTTCTTGCTGTGGAGATATTCAACGATTATTATGTGCTGGGCTATCATTGTGTGCGAGCTTATTTACAAGTCTCGAAGGAACATTTGGCGAGCTCTCTGCTAAAGAACAGTGAAAATGGCAGAAAAGGTGGAACAACCCAAACTTGCTAAGTAGCTGGTCTTCTAAATAAGATCATAAAATACAATATTTTTAATCAAATGCAAGAAAACCAACATACTAGTCTTCTAGAGTGACAATGTTGCTTTTTCAAAGATAAGAAAGCAGTTAAGACAACTATTGTGAATGTGAAATAAAATGAAATCTTTTCTCTAGCAGTACAAAGAGAGCTCATCTATCAAGAACTCCTTTTTTTATACTTGCAGATACATTTTTATTTACAAAATCATGGGACTGCCTACAAAAGTCAACTTCTATACATAAAGTGACAATGTCCTTCAAAAAATAATCGAAAAACCATGAGACGTTAAATCATTTTGCCTTCAGTGCATGCTGGCTGGGGTTATGAATACTACTCGATTATACTTGTGCATCCGTCTGCTGTATCACAAATGCCAATGCAAACATCTCGGCAATAAATACTGTATTTGATTTCAAGAAAAATTCAATTAATCCACAGTCTTACCTTGAAAGCTAAAATGATTCTGACCTCTCTTCCTGCTGGCAAATACAGAAACGGCAAGAAAAAAAGTTATCCCAGCAGTTTACACTGCAGATATCGGCCACCTACTGAACATGTGTCCCAGTGCACAATTACACACCTCGTGCTTCATTGCCCAGTGTGCTAATGCTGACTTCATTCTGCATGATATCATCGCAGACATGCCCCACCCTAATTCAAAAGACAACAGGCACTTCTTGAAAGGAACAAGTTAATTTTCTTCAGGGAGGTTACTGTTAATTTGCCACCCCAGTGTGTGAGGGGATCATCTTTCCTCACTACTTACTGCGCTCTTGTTGGCATCCACAAAGCTATTTTGATTCTTGCAAAAAAAAGCTGTTTCAAGCATTAAGCAAACCAGAAACAATCCCATTGAATTCTCGGTGAATGCTGATAAGCTGGTTTGCTGTGTATTCTGGCCTGGATCTCTACAGCGAATCTAATTAAATTATTCATCTAATGACCTGCTAAACCCTGACCCTAAAGTGGCAGACCGAGGAGAAAAAACAAAAGAGATACAGCTACTACCGTTATCCCACTGGGGTAAAGGATACTGTACTTTTCTGTCCAACTAACACGAAGTACATGGTGTTCACATAATCATTGCAGTTACAGCTCTGAATTTTAATGCGAACGAAATCTTTCAAGTTCAATATTCTTTTCTTAGTATATTCCAGTTCACGCTAACACAGATCAGTTGCTCATGTTTGGAGACACACACACAGTTTAACATGTTGCAGAACAACCTACCGGTTGGCATATTGAACCACTGATGAAGGAGTGTATGAATGGATGCGTTACTGTATATTCATGCTACACCATTCTCTTTACAGAAAGAAAATACGTCAGCAAAAACTGGAAAAACATCAAAATTGCTCGGTTATTTGAAAGGCCTCTGTCTTTTTGCAATAACAGTTATTCACATCAGTCTCTACACAGTCAGTGAGGTGGTGAATTATAAGCAAGGATTTAACCATGAACACCAAGGAGCTTTTAAAACAACCTCGGAGGTTAAACTGTAGAAGACGAGGAGTGGAACTCAATCAGGGGAAGAGCATCAAATAATTTCAAAGACAGTAAGTACTCGATTGAGCATGACAAGGTCGATCTTTAAGAAGAGGAAGGTATACCTTCCTACAACTGCCAAGAGCAATACAGTTCTTCCAATTGTTCTGAGTCAGTAGTATCCCAGTCACTTCACAAGTTAGAGTAGGACATTGCTGAAAAAAGTCCATCTCAAAACCAGTGGAGTTCACAATAAAGCATTTACGTCACAGTGTCAATATGTGGCAAAAAAATGAAAAAGCAAACACCCTACTGCCAAGCATTATGTGTGTTACAGGACTGCTTTTCGTCAACAGGGCAAGGGAAACATGTCAGAATTGAAGGTAAAATGGATAGAGAAAGTTGGAGGCAAGCCATAGAGCCACATTTATACCGAATATACACCCAGCTTCAAAAACCATTTGCTGAACCATGAATTACTGTACTAGCAATAACTGGCAATTCACAGTTGGGTGTCAGTAACCTCCGATTGTGGCTGGCGGACTCTGTACGTGCTAAGCACACTGGCACAGAGTGTGTCTCCCAAATGATCTTGAAGAAAACCAAGGGAATGTCTGAACATTAGGAATGCACAGCTGGAAGACCCTGAGAACATGTCCAGAGCCTGATTCTCATGTGAATACAGAAGGGAAGTTATTCCTAAAAAAAAAAAATAGGCCATGCTTAAAGAAGCCACAACATACAGAATAGGTTTAACGAGTACTGTACCTCCAAATGTGCATTTGATGCTTCAGATCGGAAAATCAATTACATTCTATGCAGTGTGTCATTAATTGTGATTCGGAATACAAATTCAAAAATCTGTGCATTGCCAGGCCAGCTCCTAACACTGGACCTGTATCTTCACATTTAACACTTGTTTACCTCTCCAAGTGATTTTAGACGAGGGTTTATGGAAAATATTTTTTTTCAGATTTTTCTTGTAATTGAATTACAACCGTTGTCTGTCACAAACATGACGACTACATGCTGCAATCCTTTTTGCTGGAGCTCTTGAAATGCAGTTCTATGAGGTCGGTCAGCATCTCTAATCGATGACATGCAAGTCGCCTGCCCTGCAATTCATCATGTGTTTATGGCAACATGGAGACACCATTAGTAAAAATTTCAATAAGGTCTGTGCATGGATAATCCTTTACCTCAGTCCTGTGAGAGCGACTCGGATCTTCCCTGTGGGAATTCTGTGTAAAGGCCAGTTTTTGCTCCAGGTGCCATCTGACAGAGCATGATCAAGGCATGTAATTAACTGCCACTAATTTTATTTCCCTAATACTCTTAAAAGCAGCTGAAGGGAATCTGCC